AAACGATTCTCGAGTTTTATAAAACGATTCTCGAGTTTTATAAAACGATTCTCGAGTTTTATAAAACGATTCTCGAGTTTTATAAAACGATTCTCGAGTTTCATAAAACGATTCTCGAGTTTTATAAAACGATTCTTCGAGTTTTATAAAATGATTCTCGAGTTTTATAAAACGATTCTCGAGTTTTATAAAACGATCTTTGGAGTTTTATAAAACGTATTTTTATTTTTAATTTTGCGGAGACTTTTAGCCATTGATTCCGTCGTGACCGATTTTGACACCAACAAGAAGTCAGCTGTATCTTTAAATAAACCAGCCGGCAAATGAATGCTATTCTAGTAATTAATCTTTCGCTGAGTTTACTGTTACTCCACTTTATGACGGCTGATTAAATATAACTCAGCTGTAAAAACATCTCACAACTCGGCCGGTCGACGATCAATTTACCAGCCGCGATAGTTAACTAAGCCTTATGGTAACTAGAACTCAGTCGGATTTTCCAGGAACCAGCCTAAGGATGTATAAGTCAGTCGTAATATCTGACCGTAACTCAGCCGTTATCACATAAACCAGCCAGATTTTTTTAAGTCAGCCGTAACGATCGACTGAGTTATGTTCATAACTCAGCTTATTTCTCATAAGTCAGCTAGGTTAGTTAAGTCAGCCGCAACGCACCTATATCTCGGCCGTAACGTAGTTCGTATCGTATTGCGGCTGAGTTTTATGCCGCATTCTTACGTGGACCCGAACTTTTTGCTTACGTGGCATAAAAAAGTAATGGCATTCTTGTAAATATGTTTTTTCTCACAACGTGAAAAAAGGGCACGCTGGGTATTAAAACAAAAGGTAGTAATAAAAAAAAGTTTTGTATGATTGTGATAATAATTAATAAAATTCATATTAGTTGAGTTAACTTCCCTTTAAATCCCCTTTTAAATTTCAAAATATATAAAAAAACAAATCACTTTCGAAAATAATGATCAAAATCTAATTATAATCACATATTTAAAAACACTTTTATATTCTCATCGTTAATATTCAATATTTCAAATAGTTCAAAAAATTAACATCCGAGAATATATATGCTGACAATTTACTATATATTAACATATGACCTAAAGATTTTTATTTTTCATATATTAATGTTCTTATTTTACTTAAATGACTTACATATATAGTATAATATTAAATGTGTTATATTAACAACTTTACCTTGCATTTCATGAAACAAATTATGAAAACAGGGGGATACATTTTTGGAATCAGATTTTTTAAAAAGAACAACATTCTCCAATAGGAAGATGTTAGCTGGATTCATCAAACTCAGTTGCTGAAATTATGACATTATGTCAGCTGCAAAAGAAACAGCAGCTACGATCTTGAAGAATTTCAATCTTACTTATAATAAACATCATTGCATGTTATTAGAATAAAACCGCTATGCAATCTTGGAGTCAATAAAACTAAAAACTCATGAATCTTTAAAATACATTTCTTAACGGCCCACATCTCCTTTTTCGTTAAAGCACAATGAACTGAGTTCTCTTCTGGCTTCTTCTCAGAACTCGTCTTACTCACTTTGCGTATAGATAGAACTAATTTCAGTATATGTAATGACTGCTTTCCTCACTAAGCTCTCATCCAAAACCTGAAAGGTTAAGTTTTATGATCACAAAGTAGAAACCTGAGAACTGAAAGAACAGCTGGTACTTTTTGCCATACCAAGCCTTTCTTGATTTATACCCAAAACTCTTGGCTACCAAATTTTGACAGTGTCCTTTTCTGAGACATAACTTTCTGTTCAGTCCATCCAAGAGTACCCCTTCTCTCTATTGATCCAACCGAGAACAGGTTCTTGCAGCGTTCCAAAAACCTTTTCTTAAACCATTCCTGGAGTTTTTACAGCTTTAAAGATCAGAACACGATAAAAAAAACTAACCAACCTAAAAGCGCATAACTCTTTGTTTCCTTGACCTTACCTTGATAGTATGTACAAATTCCCTTGAAGTGAGATCTTCAGAGAAGATTGAGAAGAGAATGCCTTGAAAATAGCAGGGAGGAGGAAAGTAACAATACATGAACGATGCTCCACACTTTGTGACGAAAGCCTCTTAGTAGTATTACACAAATCCCAAAGCATACCAGCTGCAAAATTCTCCACCTTTGGAGCTGCTTGGTGACTTTAAAAGCAGCGTTCAGTATCAAGTTAAGGAGATGGCACGAAAGTGGAATTGGAAATGACTCAGACAAAGATCCAATGCAGTTTTCATCCATATCATTTGTACTCAAAGAGTCACGAATCAATATCTCTCCCCATTTAACGAAATCAGATTCTTCGTGTTGAAGCATTCCCATCCAAAAAAACCCAACTGATCTCAGTAAAAAAGGCACCAAGCTCACTCCCAATACAACCAATGCACTTGTATCCGTCACAACATGAAAGAACGATTGAACAATCTGATACAGTCAAAGACATGATGATAAAATAAGCTCAAAGAGATGTGAGTGTAGGCTTATTTATAGATTTTCTCAGCTAGAGGATCACGCACAGTGCTCTTCACCGCAATAAGCTCACCCATAACGTCTGCAACCAGAAAATCTATAATTAACAATTTTCTGGAGATGTCTTTGAGAAGCATTTTTATAGATACCTGGGAGCTGAGTGCTCGTGTTAGCTAGACCAATCAATTCGGCATGATCATGAAACCAGAATCCCTCTGCAGGAAGCTGAGAAACGGTTCGGTTATCTCCTCGAAAACGGTCGAATAAGAAAACCGGATCAGCAAGGATGAATCGGTTAAGCAAAATTTCTGGACACAACGACATACATCAAAACCGGAGATGGAAAACATCGAACCGGCATTCAGTCTTGACCAGAAGGTTGGAACACGATTAGCTCCGATGGAGGCTTGCATAATCTGCGCCTGTAAGAAAAAACATATAATGATGAAGAAATCATTAATCAAAGTTAGAATCTGGAAATCAAACAATTTACAAAAAACATATAACGATGAAGAAATCATTAATCAAAATCGGAATCTGGAAACAAAGCAATTTACAGATCTAGAAAATGGAATTCTTACATTGACATCGACCAGGAACATTTCCACCCACATCAGCTCACGGCCGCGTTTCACGTTCCTCCCGAAAACGGAGCAGGTGGGCCTCTATAGTGGAAGGACACCGACCAGACTTCAAGTCGGAGAAAAAGACTCTAGTGTTAGCCATTTGAGAGGATACTATGAGATGAGAGGGTTGAGAATGATTTTTAAGATATCATAGCATACCTATTTATACAGAAGAACTCGCTGACTGTGAGAAGAAATAGCGAATTCGTAGAAGAGATCGTGGGTGATGAGTTAATGATATGATCAATGAGCCAAACGTTAAGAAAACAAAAGACGCCATGAAAGCTTCAGAAGCTCTTTGCTCGATGGCGACAGAGAAATGGGATGATAACCCTAATCATCTTGAGCGAGTAACACGTAAATCAGAAAAGGCCGAATACTTTAAACAGGCCCAGACGAAATTAAGAGCCCATAACAAACCGTAAGAAAGAAAACGACAATGTTTTGCAAACTTCCATATATCAAAACCATAATCACCCTATTACTCTATTAGTGATATGGCACTATAAAATGATAGAAAAACATTCTTTATAATAATAGATAGATACTACATTACTACAGATTTTAAAAGTTGGCCCTTAGTGGGCCCACAGCTAAAGCCCTCTATAGATGATGATAACATGTATGTTTCAGACGAAAAAAAAAAGACATTTTGATTTCCATTCCCGACCATCCCCAGTCCAAGTTTTTATGGATTTAGCACCACCAATACCAAAAAAAACATTCGGCAATACATGCAGTTTGCATAAGAGAAATAAAAATGTTCTGTATATACTTACAAGAAGAAATATCAGTTGTGCTTTTTAACAAAAGTAGGTACATTTTTTCATGAATTAATTCGAGTCCAATTAACAAAAGATTGCAGTGAAAACAATAAAGCAAAATTTCAGAAAAAGAGTTAATGATCAGCTTGAAGAGTCTTTTGCAAGCAAATCGAAACAACCATCGGACCAGCCAAGTCCCCCAGCGCGCACCCTGCGTTAAATAAACAAATACACATCAAGCATTGTAATAAACAATAAAAATGTGAAACGTTCATCAAGTTGTCAACAGTTAAGCTTTACCGATCCATTGGCCCATGGAGGGACGTATGAGACAAGAGCAGATGCCAGATCCAATGGCAGCAAAAAGTAACGAAGCGCCACATCGTACTGTGATACCCACAACTTTGTTTCCAAGATCCTTGGCTTTCTCTGATATCACAACTTGTTCCCCTTCTCCTTCCTCCTCCTCCGGTTTAACATACCGGAACACACATCTGTAGATCTCTATACCTACTTGAACTGTCCACGATGCTGCAACTCCGAGGAAGTGTCCTGCGCCAATGACACAACATATATATATATATATATATATATATTATATATATATATGAACTAAGCCAATGCTGAGCTTAAAAAACTAAAAAAAATTGTTATTATTATTATACCTCTAAGAGTTGTCTGGCTGACTTTATAGATGTATAAATGTGTGGGCCACCCTCTCCCAGCTTTGCGTAAAGTTGACCGAGGTACATCTGCATATATATTTTATTAATCCACATGATCAGTTCATCGAGCTAAGAGTTTTGTTCTACTAACTTTTATTTTATCCATTAACATTATGTAATGACAAGGGCAAAGTAAATCAAGTAATAGAGGATGATGCTTACCCTTTAGTAGTTTCCATGCCATACGCTGTGAGACATAACTAATAGCCAGCCTTTCAAGAACTCTTCTCGTAGTTACAACTGTGGTCTGTATCATATATACAACCGAACTTAGCAGTTACAAATCATGAAGCAACCTTTGATGCATATCGTTCAAAGTTTCAGCCTCTCTATGCAACAAGAGAACAATCTTAAACACTAACCTCACGGGCAATCTGCTTGACTGATTTTTTAAGAGGAACAATCAAGTCTACGCGGCGTGGTGGTTCTTCCGCTACATTGTTGAGGAAATCATCGTCGTCCTCAGAAGCAGGTTTAGGCTCTAAAAGAGGCAGATAGAACATCAAAAGGGACCTCACTGTGGTCATTGCAAGCGCCCTGAACTCAAAGGCCGAGAAAAGCGGCTTTTGCTGGATATTGTAAACCTTAGAACTAGGAATGTATGTAGGAGGAGGAGCTTGAAGCTGCAAAGAATCTACAGACATTCTCCGTACAGCAGCAATGTAATCACCATCTATTCCAGCTGCTGCGGCGGCGGCATCACAGTACGCAACTCGTGGCTCAAAAGAACTGTTTTAACATTAACAGCTTTTGCATCAGGTTGAAGACTAATGTATTCTGTTACTCTTTCTGTTACACGGTTTACATTAACCTAAACCAATTCTAGTTACATGGTTTAGTGAAACCGGTTTACTCTTATTCTAATAATAGCTTTCTTATTCAACCGAGCAAAAACAAGCAACTCAGCTAGTGATTAACCCTAATAACACAATCTTTCACGATCCAATCAAAAAAAAAAAAAAAAAAAACAGAGCATCAATCAATACAAAGAGAAGAAGACAGTAACAATACCCGAAGAGAAACCTAGACGCGAAAGGAGCACTGGCGGCAGCAGAAACGGCGGCGGCGGAGGCGGGAGACAGAGACGATGAGTGGATACGGTGACTGTTATGAGATTTCTTAAGTAGATCTAAAACTATAGCTATTCCCGCCATTACCACAACGCTAAACGAATCTCCTAATCAGAAGAAGGAGAAGAAAGTGTAAATATTTGCGTGCTTGGGATTTAACTTTGTTGTAGATTTTCTCTTCCAGCTTCTTTCCGTTAAAATAAAATATTTCCTCGAGAAAAAAAAAAGTAAAGAACGACAAAAGTTCTGTTGATTTTTCCTTTTGATATTCCGTCGTTTTGATTTACTATCGGCTCATTAACGGCCCATTATATTATAACTAAACCGACCGTTGATAAATGCACATTTTTTTTAGTTTCATCTCTCTCTAACAAGAAGCTGCTTTTGCCAAACCCCTGAAACTTTGATAAAGAAAGATCATCCATGAGTACCCTATTTTCTTCAATTTTTTTGTTTTTTTTATCAACATGTTTCATTTCATTAGCTCACTAGACAAAACACATGAGTACAAAGAAGTCTATTAAGTCCCAAGCGAGATAATCTAGGCTTAAATAAAAAGAGAAGATCTTTGTTTTAAAAATTGGTTGTTACGCGCTAGACTAGAGAGTCTTCATCCGCCATAATTTATGTCAAATTGGTGTAAAATTGGTTGTTTACGCGCTAGACTAGACAGTCTTCACCTAGATAATAGCCCATTGTTTATGTGATCTAAGTGGTATAGGCGAGCCAAAAATTTGGATGTCTAATTTATGTCTATCTAATTTTGTCTGAACAACCGCCTAATCTACTTTTTTTTTATTTTCTATTTTTATTTTTAATAATATTTTTATCTATTTGTGTGATCTAATATTTAATAAATATAATTTATATTCATTATTTTGCTGAAAATGATATTAGATTAAATTTATATATTCTATTTATACGTTTTATACGGTTTTAAACATGAAAATATGTTAATTTATATATAACTAAAGATTAATCTATTTTATAACATTTCAAATAATTTAAAATTTTTGTCATGCATAATTCCTGAATAATCTTCGATTTTCTTTTTAGGCGCTAGACCAATCTTACCACCCGACTAGTGCTGAATGTGTTCTCGAACAAAGGATATACATAATAAACATATTTCTTTTTTAGTTGAGTCTAGGACCTCGTGGCAGACAAATAGAGTAACGGTTCATACTAGTAGATATCTATCGCATAGCCACGATAGTGCCACTACAAAACCATGGCTATAGTAAAAAGCCACGCCAACGCCACGTTCAAGCCACGAAAAAAAAGCCATGGTAAATACAAAAAATGGCCACAAAAGTGTCGCGAAGCTAAAACGTGGCTAGAATAGCCACGATTTAGCAACGAATATTTCGTGGCTGGCTTTTGTTTTCTTGTGCCGACATCAAAACAGTAATAAATGTACATAGCCACGGTTTTAACATGGCTATATCGTGGCTATAATTAACTTTTACAGTTCAAAGCAGAGAAATATTTGTTTGGCAGTGATATTTTTTCAAGTGCCACGGATTCAGAAGCAAACCGTGATTCAGAAGATGATTCAGAATAGAAAAAAAAAATCTATTCTCAGATTGTAAAATATGTTTTAAGGTTGAATGTATAAAGAAAATAAGTTGTGAGGATGAGAAATAATTTGTAATGTTGTAAAATATGTTGTAAGGATGAAAAATAATTTGTAAGGTTGTAAAATATATTGTAGATATGTTGTAAGAATGAAATAACTTGTAATGTTGTAAGATATGTTGTTGTTGTATGAGGAGAGGTTGATGGGTAAGAGTTTTGGGGTTATAGTTTATGGGTTAGAGGTTAGAGGTTTCGGGAAAGTGATTTCGACATAGTCACGATAATTTCGTGGTTAATTGGTGGCTATTATAAAACCATTACTACAACGCTAAACGAATCTCTTAATCACATGAAGGAGAAGAAAGTGTAAATCTGTGCGTGCTTGGGATTAACTTTGTTCTAGATTTTCCCTTCCAGCTTCTTTCGGTTAAAATAATATATTTCCTCGAGAAAAAAGTATATAGAACGACAAGAGTTCTGTTGACTTTTCCTTTTGATATTCCGTCGTTTTGATTTACTATCGGCTCATTAACGGCCCATTCATTATATTATAACTAAACAGACCCGCTGATAAATGCACATTTTTAGTGAGATTATTTGCCAATACACCCTAAACCACCTCTTAATTAGCGGTTTACACATGATGGGACTGATCATTTTGTAAGACGAAATTGCCCTTTCTTCTCTCTCCTTCCTGCATATGCATGTGGATGTGTCATTTTATTTTTCATTTTCGTTAAAAACACACACACTCTCTCTCTCATTCTTTCTTCTATTATGTTTGTTCTCTTCTCTTCTCTTTTTCTTTTTTCTCCATGTTATTAAGTGGATGTTGAAAGAAAATCTGTTATTTTTTTTAATTTTAATTTACTTTGTTTTTTTTTAAAATAAATTTAATTATTCAATATGATAGAGAAATTAAAACTTATAAAATACATATTTGTTAACAGCTACTATCTAACACCTCTTTCAACATCTACAATATTTATTAACAGCTAACATCTATGTTTCCATCTTTGATACATCCATTTGTTAACATCTAATATCTATGTTAACATCTAAAATATTTATTAACAGCTAACATCTACGTTACCATCTTTGGTACAACTATTTGTTAACATCTAATATCTTTGTTAACATCTACAATATTTATTAACAGCTAACATCTATGTTTCCATCTTTGATACATCCATTTGTTAACATCTAATATCTATGTTAACATCTAAAATATTTATTAACAGCTAACATCTACGTTACCATCTTTGGTACAACTATTTGTTAACATCTAATATCTTTGTTAACATCTACAATATTTATTAACAGCTAACAGTTTGGGTACATATATTCGTTAACATCTAACACTTCTGTTAACAAATATTATAGATGTTAACTATCGACAATAGTGATTATTTCCGGCGATTTTAAAGAGACGTCAATAAAGTTTCTTTTATTATGGGGTGCAATCAAACTAATCAATGCTTTGTTTAGTATGTCAGTTGATTTTTAACGTAAGAAAAAAATATCTAGAAGAAAAAATGTGGAAGTAAAGAAAGTATAATAAAAAATAAAGAGAGAGTGTGGCTGCAGAAGAAATAGACAATGTCAGCAGATTGCAAGAAGGGCATCAGTGTCCAACCAAATCCAAATTGTACAAAATTTTACACTTATATCAAATCATGGTTAAATAACTAATAAGAGGTCCAAATATGAGTATTACACTAAATCTCTCCTTTTTAGTTTATCTCTCTCTAACAAGAAGCTGCTTTTGCCAAACCCCTGAAACTTTGATAAAGAGAGATCATCCATGGGGATACCCTATTTTCTTCAGTTTTTTTTTTTGTTTTGTTTTTTTAATCAACATGTTTCATTTCATTAGCTCATTAGAAAAAACACATGAGTACAAAGAAGTCTATTAAGTCCCAAGCGAGATAATCTCAACTTAAATAAAAAGAGAAGATTTTGTTTTAAAAATTGGTTGTTTAGGCGCTAAGCGATCTTCATCCGCCATAATTTATGTCAAATTGGTGTAAAAAATGGATGTCTGATTTTAGTCCATCCGTGTCACCTAGATAATAACCCATTGTTTATCTGATCTAAGTGGTATAGGCGAGCCAAAAAATTAGATGTCTAATTTATGTCTATCTAGTCGTTTTGACGACCGCCTAATCTACTTTTATTTATTTATTTATTTTTATTTTTAATAATATTTTATCAATTTATGTGATCTAATATTTGATAAGTGTAATTTATATTCATAATTTTGATGAAAATTATATCAGATTAAATTTATATATTCTATTTATACGTTTTATACGGTTTTAAACATGAAAATATGTTAATTTATACATAATTAAAGATTAAACTATTTTATAACATTTCAAATAATGTAAGAATTTTTTCATGCATAATTTCTGAATAATCTCCAATTTTTTTTAGGCGCTAGATTCAATCTTACCACCTGACTAGCGCTGAATTTGTTCCCGAACAAAGGATTTACATAATAATTTTTTAGTTGAGTCTAGGACCTCGTGGAAGACAAATAGAGTAACGGTTCATGCATCTACCACTGACCTAGCGTTGTCGTCATCTCTGGTATGTTTTCTACCATGAGTCCACCTCTTCAACGCATTTAACACCTCCAATCAGACTTCAGTATGTACTTATGTGCCGATCCTTCATAGCTAATCGCCGAACACCATCATCATCTTCATTAATTACTATAGAGTATAAAGGATGAAGAACCAGATCATTCATTGACACATCCATTAACGGACCTCAATTCTACATAATCCAATCCCATCAACTTGATTCACATCCAAAGATCACTCTGCGCAAAGTCCAATATATTGACCATAAAGTGTGGAGCTATACATCTATTGGAAGGAAAACAAGCAGTCAGGGACAGAAGGGGGTCATCTGACTCTATAGATTTCTGTCAAGAAAAATATTACTTGCATTGTGGAATAAAGTTTTGGTAAAATGGTGTAAAATTGGTATACTGATCCCAATGATATATTGGAGAACATGACTTCACCCCCATGATTTTTTTTTTCAAAAACTCTATTATTGTAACATGCTTTTACTTTCGCCAAATCCAAAGATACTCAATAATTACTTAAACATTATTTTCATTTCTTTATTCTAATTGTTTCCTACTACTTATTTACAGCTGTCCAATATTTTTATTCACTAAAAACAATTGATCTGATTTTTATTTTACACATAAACATTTTTTCTTTCCTTCATTTTTATACTTTAATTTATTTTAAACTCATTTTGGATTACTTTTAAAAAAAAAAATTAAGAATATAACAATTTAATAAGTTAATATTTTGGATATATGTCAAACAAATATATTTGGATATATATATATATGTATATATACAACAAACCTATTAAATACTTATATTATTTTAATAAAGTTTTATAAAATATTAATATTTAATTAGTTTTAATTAATATTTTTTTTGTAATAAACAAAATTGCCCAGTCAAATTTTTGGCCGGCTCCACCACTGCAAGCAGAGATGATATTTTCTCTCTCTAAACGAACATATGAATTTATTTTCTTCAGGTTTACCTTAAATAGAATTCATTTTCTTCCTCTTAATCTCCGTTTCATGATTTTTCTTCTTCTAATTTTTGAAATTGATCTTTTTGTGTGTTTCGCTATTCTGAGCTTCCACTAAATCATATGTTTTGAGATTGACCAAAAAATCATATATCGTCTTTCTATTTTTTTCTTGTTTTCAGTTACTTTTAAATCGAAATGTAAGTAAATTACATAAAAACCATCATAAGTGATGATATTTACATTGAGAACCAGGTTTCAAACCCACCCACCCAGTAACCCACCGGATCTAAATGGGTAAAGTATCAAATCCTAAAATTAATCACGACTTTAAATCGCTTGCCTCATCTCATTAAATTCTAAAAAATATTCTCTCGAAAATATTTAAATCCAAGTCTTCTAGAGAATTTTGGTTGTGAAACTTGAAAGAACTAGATGAGAAAGAAAAAAAGAATGAAGAGAGGTAAATTTCTTCACTCATCTCGATTTTGTGTATTTCTCTTGTTTCGTGTATATAGTGTGAGAAATCAATTGTTTTTAACTATATGAAGGAACAGAAAAAATTGGCGAAGTTACGATGGAGCTAGAAGGAAGAAAACGAAGCATGTGATAGAGATAACTTCTCCTGAAAGTGAAATTGCAGAAGTAGATAATGAGATAAGCATACTTTCCTATTTCTATGGACCTTAGGATTAACTAACTTTCCTATTCTTTGTATGTTAATGTTGTATATAAACACACATTGGGTTAATGATAAGATACACGGTTCTATTCTACACACCTTGGGTTAATGAATAAGATACATGATTCTGGAAGTTGCTCATAGCCCTGAAGGGATCTTTCTTTCCCAACAAAAATATGCGTTGGACATTATTACGGAGTGTGGTCTCCTAGGTGCAAAGCCATCTCATGTTCCCACTGAGTTAAATCATAAACTTTTTGTATGTCAAATATTCACACAAATAACAAATCACTCATATTTTATTTATGATTCAATAGTACATAATATTTTAATTTATTATTTTTATAATTTTTACATCCACAAAGTTTTAGTATCTGGTTAGTAAATCTAATAGATGTGTAACACATATTTGTTAGCCGGATATATCAACAAAGTCTTAGTAACTGGTTAATAAATCTAATAGATGTGCAACACATGTTTGTTAGCAGGTTAAACTATTTTTTTTTCACTTACAGAACCATATTTTTGTGTTCACATAGGTGTTCGAAAAACTATATTTTAATTTGAATAAAAACATTTACCTAGTTTGACAACATATTAGATAGGAAATATAGTCAAGTTAGCCGTAAACATAACTTTTTAACTTATTACTTTTATAATGTTTGCATCCACAGAGTTTTATTATCTGGTTAATAAATGTAATAGATGTGTAACACATGTTTGTTAGCCGACTAAACTAGATGTGTAACCCGAGGAATTCCAAGATGTAAAAAAGATGAAAGAAAATGAAGTTCAAGAATTAGAATGCTTCATGAACTCATGGATAAATAACCAGATTAACTCATGATCTTCTTCACACTTCATGATCTTCTTCATTTTTTCTAGATTTAGTAGGAAAAAGAAAAATCAGAGAAAAAGATTGAAGGAAAAGAAAGAGATAATTTTAGTAAATCTAACCCAAATCATTTTATGATCTTTCCAAATCTAAACGAAATCTATATAATATCTTACCAAATCTACCAACAATCTTGTGTCAGAGAGAAGTAATAGTAGACTAAATCCGGGAAGGCGAATTGTAGGCCGGGCATCGTATTTTTCGTATTTTCGTCTTTCTTATACCTCCTCATACATTTGTCTACCACATCATTATTTACGGTATCGTAAAAGACCTGGAAGTTATCTACGGTATTTTTCTTGCTTAATAAGATTCCGAGTCTGATTGCTCATAAGATTCATGCTCATAAGATTCCGAGTCTAGAGAACATTTAGGAGAAACTGAGAACATTGTTCAGGAGGCTCTGGCATTACTTACAACGTCAGAGCTTGAGAATACCAAGACCTTTTCTGTAAAGAAGTACCTCTGGAAAGATGATCTCGAAATCAACAAGAGCTTCGACGCAAGAAGAGAAAATCAGAGACAATGGAAAAGTCTCATAAGAGAATGCAGAAGTTATGTTTGAATCAGGTCTAACATTTACTCCATCATGTTCAGATTTTCAGAGTTTCATTGAAGACATGCCCGTCTTTTGGCATGTGCCAGATGAGCATTTGCACAGGGTCCACAAGATTTTGACAAAATTTTAGTTAGTGTTTAGGGCCTTTTTTTGAAAATTTTGGGGCTCTTTTTTTTTACAAATTCCTTTTAGTATCTATGGTAAATATAGATTTTGCACAGAGCCCACACTGATTATGAGATGGGCCTGAATGAAGATATAGACCAAATTTTTTTAAGATACGCAAAATCTAATACACCATGACCAAATCTGTGTATGGTGTCTTTTTTCGGTGGTTGCATATTAGTGCAAACAGTACCAAAAATTTTGAATTTTGAATATCCTTCCTTTCACATATTTCACAAACAAATGAAAAATTCACCCACTCGAGAACCGTATGGAGGAAGATGACGGAATGCACATGCTGCCATGTCCATTGCCTGAAAGGATTTTTGCAGCCGGTGACGAACCCATCGACGTTAGAGTGACTCCATATCACAAGAGGAACAGAATCAAACAAATCATGAATTCGCTTCATCCCGATGAAGTTGAACAGATTAGGGTTTCTCTATTCGGAAAACTGATTGAGATCGCCGACAAACCGAGCTTCTCAAAGACGTTTGGAAGATATATCATATCAAAATGTCTTAGTAACTGGTTTATAAATCTAACAGATGTGCAACACATGTTTGTTAGCCGGCTAAATTATTTTTTCACTTACGGAACCATATTTTTGTGTTCACATAGATGTTCGAAAAACTAGTTTTTAATTTAAATAAAAAAATTTACCTAGTTTAACAACATCTTAGATATGAAATATAATCTTTATTTATGATTTTGTCTCAGTAAATAAATTCTTAATGCTCCCATTCTTCGTTTTAATTTCTTTGGAATATGTTAGGTAATAAATGTTAATTCATTTATTTATGATTGGCCAATTCAAGAATAAGAGTATCACTGACCTTTCTCTTGGTACAAAGTAGCCCCTAATTATATAAATCTAATCAAATACACGTTTAGGGTTATATTATGTTGGATTCATACTAAGACATTTTGGTACAAAGCAATTTCATTCAAATGCGCAAAGTCCAATATATTGACCATAAAGCGTGGAGCTATACATCTATCGGAAGGAAAACAAGCAGACAGGGACGGAGGCAGCTGTAGGAGAAGGGGGTCATCTGACTCTATAGATTTCTGTCAAGAAAAATATTACTACTTGCATTGTGGAATAAATTTTTGGTAAAATGGTGTAAAATTGGTATACTGACCCGATGATATATTGGAGAACATGACTTGACCCCATGATTTTTTTTTCAAAAACTCTATTACTGTAACATGCTTTTACTTTGGCCAAAATCCAAAGATACTCAATAATTACTTAAACATTATTTTCATTTCTTTATTCTAATTGTTTCCTACTACTTATTTACAGCTGTCCAATATTTTGGGTTACACTTCTTAGATAAGCATAGTAGTTTGTTTTAATAGTGTATCAAAAATTTAGAATTGTGTTTGTATTTTTGTTTTGACATCAAACTGTGTTTATATCTTGTAACTTTTAATAATACAGATATATATTTGATTTGCCGGAAAAGAAATATCACAGCCGTTGTTTGCGACGGTGAATTTTAACGGTGTCACTGTGTCTGTAAACGGGAAGATGAATTAGTTTCTATAAAATTATAATGTTATTCAAAACTGAGCTTGTGTAACTAAACTAACGATCCTAATACAAACTAGTACGTATAATCGAGTTTTTGTAATCCATGGTTCACAAGATTTCCATTGAAATACTCTCTCCATGCCTTTAAAGGCCTGATTTCACCAAAGTTTGCAGATTCACCCCTACTCTTGTAATTGTTCTGATTCTGAAACAATTCTCTAGCTACAAACCCCATGATCTCTGTAGAGTCCATAAACCTCTTAACCTTCAGGCTGGTGCTTTCTTCATACGGCACTTCCCTTTTGGGGACTTGACCATCCAAAAGAGTGGAGACGACGTCGGTTTGGGATATTTGTCGCTATTCTGAGCTTCCACTAAATCATATGTTTCGAGATTGACCAAAAAATCATATGATATATTCCCATATCTTAATGGGACAGCTTTTTTTTTTTCCCCATCTAATATTTTATTAATGGGTCTTGGACAAACTAAACCAGGCCTGATAAACATACAACAAAAGGTCAAACCGACCAGGTCTAACTATCAAACATAATTCCACAACAAACCAAACAAACAAAGCCCAGAACAAACGGGTCAACATTTAAACTCTATGGAATATAAGCCCACCTTAGGAAACTCGTCAAGGAAGTAAAGTCTTCACACACCACTATGTGTACGACCTATACGAGTTACATGTAACACGCGTCAGTACACCGAACCAATTCTCCTTCGCAACGAACCTCGCTGTAACTTCCCCACGTCGGCGACACAGTGAAACTAAAATTGATATCTTCATATCAACTGAAGACTTTACGGCTCATCACTTCCGGGAAAAGCACCGTCTTCGATCGATCTCAAAGAACTCCGAACCTCAACGTTAGAGGATGAAATCGAGAGTCGGTGGAGCAGAGAAAACAAGAAGTGGCGAGTAACAGAACTGAGAAAATCTTGGTGAAGCACCTGGTGAAGAAGATGAAGAGACATCCCTCTCCAGAGACCAAAGCCGAATAGTTTCCGTCATGAGAAACGCACACTGTCGGAAACAAAGCCGGATATTCTTCACCTAAAGAGCAAGCGAAGATACCGGAAGCAAAACCGGACAACCTCCAAAAGAGATGGAGCGCCGCCGGAAACTGGACGGATCAAAAGCACCAAACCCGATGGTCGAACCTTTCTCTCTCCTCTGTGTCAGATTCTAGAGGGAACAGATCAGAGAGAGAAAAGTTACAGTCTTAATGGGACAGCTTTTGTATCCTCTTTCTACTTTTTCTTGTTTTCGATTTATTTTTAAATCGAAATGTAAGTAGTTACATAAAAACCATCATAAGTGATGATATTTACATTGAGAACCAGGTTTCAAGCCCACCCACCCACCCAGTAATCCACCGGATCTAAATGGGTAAAGTATCAAACCTTAAAATTAATCACGACTTTAAATCGCGTGCCTCATCTCATTAAATTCTTAAAAATATTCTCTCAAAATATTTAAATCGAAGTCTTCTAAATGATTTTGGTAGTGAAACTTGAACGAACTAGATGACAAAGAAAAAGAATGAAGGGAGGTAAATTTCTTCACTCATCTCGATTTTGTGTATTTCTCTTTTTTCGTGTATATAGTGTGAGAAATCAATTGTTTTTAACTGTATGAAGGAACAGAAAAAAATGGCGAATTTATGATGGAGCTAGAAGGAATAAAACGAAGCATGTGATAGAGATAACTTCTCCTGAAAGTGAAATTGCAGAAGTAGATGAGATAAACATACTTTCCTATTTCTATGGAGCTTAGGATTAGCTAACTTTTCTATTCTTTGGATGTTAATGTTGTATATAAACACACATTGGGTTACTGAATAAGATACACAATTCTATTCTACACGATTCTATTCTACACACCTTGGGTTAATGAATAAGATACACGATTCTGGAAGTTGCTCGTAGCCCTGAAGGAATCTTTCTTTCCCAACAAAAATATGAGTTGGACATTATTACGGAGTGTGGTCTCCTAGGTGCAAAGCCATCTCCTTTTCCCACTGAGTTAAATCATAAACTTGCTCTTACAAATGGACTACTTCTTGAAGATCCTAGTCGATACAGAAGATTGGTTGGGCGCTTGTTTTAATTGACCTTTATGAGACCTGAATTGAGTTATATTGTGCATCTTCTCTCTCAATATATGCAGCTTAAACCAAGGGAGGAGCATTGGCTGGCGGCTTTGCGTGTTGTACGTTACTTAAAGGGATGTGCAGATCAAGGAATTATGCTCTTCTCTCCCCCTGATTTGAATCTCACGGCGTATTGTGACTCGGATTGGTCAGCATGCCCACTTACTAGATAAGGATACTTTCATATTTCTATGGAGCTTAGGATTAGCTAACTTTCCTACTCTTTGGATGTTAATGTTGTATATAAACACACCTTGGGTTAATGAATAAGATACACGATCTATTCTACATCGTTATAGTAGAGAAGAAGAAATCAGTTAAAAATAAAGTAAAGACGAAAACACAAATTCAAGAGATGGGAAAGAGGGTGCTAAGTCAGTTGAAGATAAAGTAGAAGAAAAAATAAGAAAGAAAATAACTCAGGAGACACAGACGAACAAGAAGAGACATGAAATCTGAGAATAATCTTGATGATGAAGGAAAAATATGATCTGAAGAGAACTCGGAATCAGGGATCGTGTTGTTGTTAATGATATCCAAATAAATGAAGAAGAAGGAATAAGGACAAGGCAAATAGGAATCAAACCTTTAGCAACACTAGTGAGAAAAGTGTTTGTATTTCTACCTCGCTCTCATAATTAGGTGGAACCTATGATTTAACTGCATGTAGCCTTTATACATGATCTAAATGGGTCATGATAACTCTTAACAAACCAATGATTTAACTAATTGGAGCATGAAAACGTAGATTATTTTTAATTTGTACTTCACTCACATTAGACATTTAAGTACTTAAGAATTTTTAGTTATGATATATTTTTATCATATGTTATAACTCTTAACTTGTTACAAAAATTGTAAAATTGTCTAAATTATTTTTTGTTATCTTGTATGTGAAATAAAAATAAAGAAAACTATAGTTAATTATTTTTCTAAATTAAATATAGAATATTTTGTATATTTTTAATAGATAATATATTATTATAAGACAAAACTAATTATTATATTAATTCGTTTTCCATTCAATTATAATATGTACTTATGTAATACATAGTATACTTAAAAAAAAAGAGAGAGTAAGATTACTATATACCAAAGAATTTTTTTATTTATTCTATTATGATGATGTTAAAAATTAGCACACACAATAACATATAATATTAAATTCAGTGACGTTACACTTTGTACACTCTTTCTTACAATTATCAAGACCTTGTGGTTGTTAAGCATGCAACGACACTTCATGTTGCAACATAAATAATTGTGATTGATTATGAATTAAAAAAAAAACTTAAATAAAAAACACTACACATGAAGTCGGATCTTTATTTTAGCTAAGTATTGATGTTGAACTTTTCATATCATACTAAGAATTACAAACATCATCAGATTACTAGAAAAAAAAAGATTCAGAAAAACTTTAAAAAGAAATAAAATTCGTGATATCGATTGAAAACATAATTCAGGTGCCAAGTGAAGAGATCACATTTTTTTACACACAAATCTAGTCCCTTTCGCTCGATTGTATAGTGTTTTTACTATAGTTCCAAGAATTGTTTTTATAAGAAAATACACGTTATTGGTTATAGTCTATGTCAATTTTGCAACATACTGAACAATATTGACACAACGTCCAGTCATCCCTTATATATTAATCTTGGAGCATTACAACATATTTTTGTATCCACGTGTCATCACCAAGACAGTTCTCAGAATCATTAGAAACATAAGTTGTTCCATATAATTATATACTATACTTTTTATTAAACTTACTATCAAATAAATTATTAGTGTATAAAAGAATATTCTTTGTTTCCTTAAATAAAAGT